GCACAGCTCTTCCAACCTATGGCACGAAGGTTAATGGTAGTAAGATATTTTAAATTTTACGACAGGCTCACTCAACTTATTTGGCCTTTGGCGTGAATAGCAATTGTAGGAAGAGAATTCAATTTACGATAGGTTTTCTCACCCCCTTTAATCTCTGCTGTGAATGTTAATTGTAGCAAGACATTTCAAATTGCGATAGGCTCTTTCATCTCCTTTGGCTTTTGACATAAAGGCTAAATACTTTATCATTTGTCCTCTGGCATCCCAGTTTCCAACCGATCGAAAGAACTTTGTTAGAATTAAATTTCATTTCTGTATGCCGAAGTTACCAATTTTAATCAGCATGATACTATATTGTGTTTCTGTTTCATCTGCCGTTTCATTCAAAACGATTTCCTCAATCTTCAGACATTATAATTATTTGTTTAGCCTAGTAAATTTAAAGAATAAGGTATGCTGATATTCTTATGTGATGAACTCATCATAATAACAATTTCTATATAAGATAATATAATGCAATCCTTGTTTCTGTTGCTGTTGCACATTAAATGCCACATCAGACAAAAGTCTCCATGTTACCTCTTTTCTAACATTATACAATGTTGCTTTATTATATAATGTTGGTGTATTATGATATATAGCATCCCTTATATGAGAGTGATCCTCAAATGGAGTATCCGCCACCGTGTCTAGGAGCTCTAATTTAAATTCAAAATGGCAACATTTTCTTCTTTATTAGTGCTATCAACAAAGGTCTCCATTATTTTTAAATCACTTGCCCGGAGGGACAGTGGTAAGAGATTTTATGTTTGTCGGAAGATGTCGAATTTACGCGACATCGAATCATAACAAATGAAAGTGCGAATTTGGGTCTGTAGATAGAGCCCATAGTGGATGGGTTGTATCCAAAGCTATTATACGCACCCTACGTAAAATCAAGATCCACACATGTTATATTCCGACAGACAGTTATCCAACCATTCTTTAAATAAAAAATGTAGATATCTAATAACAAAAACTTTCAATGAGTTAAAAACTTCATCCAAGTTAATCCAAATCAATACAGGAAAATCGTCTAAATTATCAGCAACACTTCTTGCAGTCAGAGCATCTAGTAATATTCCCTTCAGAAAAATATCGAAAAACGGAAATGCTTTTCCATTGCCAATATGGACTAATTAACATAATCAGCACGATCTTACTAATGTAACAAATACGATACTAAGACAAATAAAGAACGATTCACTGTATATCACAAAAAAATACAGAAATATGATCTTCCCAATAATAAAATACAAATGATATTTCGTTCATAATAATGAGTTGATAGTTTTACTTAAAATACAAAATAACGAATTGATAATTTTACTCGCTATAGAAAAGCACCGGGTATTACGAAAAATAAACTACATTAACCCACGCCCAAAATATTATCTGGAACAATGTCTATCATCCGTTAACTATTTACTACCAGTTCCACTGGCCAAACAAGCAAAGATTTGTAGTCACCGACCACCATTGATTCCTCGGTTAGACAATCATCGCCCACAACTTTAGTCTGCAACGCCTGATCTCCCTCAACCAGACTTGCAAAGTTAGTCTACTCGAAGCACTCGTAAACATAAGTACAGCACGGCTCAGCACTGCACACGAAGCATACGCAGCTCTACATAGCACACCTTGCTCTACACAGCTGTACACGGCATTCGCACAAAGCTCAGCACTGCAAACGCAGCATACACAGCTCTACAGCAAATAATAGCACAGCACCAACACAGCTCTACACCAACACAGCACCAACACCAGCACCATCACTGCAATACCAACACAGTACTACAGCTCTATAGCACCAACACCAACACAGCAGAGCAATAACACAGCACTGCAACACCAACACAGCTCTACATTAACAACAACACAGCTCTACAGCAGAGATATGTAGATCTCAAAGTATCCCTCCGATCGGCAAAACAGATCGTAATGTTGCCTTGGGAGTCTCCACTCATCTAACCTATGGATGTGACCAAACCAACTTAGGTTTTTCTCATTAAGAATGTCAGTCAGAGATAAGAATCCTGCTAGCTTCATTAATTCTATGTTTGTGACCTTGTCCTCCAATTTAATTTGTAGAATTTGGTGGAGGTGGCGATGGCGCATCATATAAGCATGAAGTCTCTCTGTCTGTGCACGATGATAGATAGTCCAGGTTTATGCACCCTACATGAGAGATGACATCACTATGACACGATATACTTTCCCTTTTCTAACGAGCTGACACAAGCGTATTGTTCCAGAGCCTATACTGAAACTTGCCGAAAGCAATACTGGCTTTTCCCAAACTGCATGTTATCGTATTCTAAAGGCTAGCATTGTTTGAGATAGTTCTACCAAGGTAGACAAAGATTTTGCACTGGACTAGGTCCTCAGCATAGATGGTTATTGTGGTTGGTGGAGGAGGTTTGCTGAAGAGTTTTACCGGATGGTACATGCATTCTGTCTTACTAATGTTAATATTCAGGCTAAATTGTTTTGCAGTCTTGGAAAACTTGTCCACTCTCAAGATCTAAACACAGCACAAAATATAGAAGACTATAGTGACGGGGAGATAAAAAAAAATAACATATAACCATTAAACATCGATTGACTATCTAAACGCACCAGAACATACAAGGCCATTAGTACAATTTGACGAAGAGAAGTTCATGTTCGCCTCAAATATAACTGTATCGACACAGTATTGGAATAGAAATCACATACACCAAAATTAGAGACAATACATATTTTAGAGGGAATCCCTATAACCAAACTGGTACGATGTGGTGAAAATGGTGCAAAATATCGATGATTGTACTAACTTTAAAACTGATTTGAACTCTACAAAGAGAGTTAGAAAACTTTGGAAAAGCATTGGGGTCTATAATATAGTATGACAAGACTGAAATACTATGCATTAGTCACTGGTCAGGAAACCACCATAGACTTCCTCTCCATTTTAATAAAAGACAGAGTAAAAGCGCTAGTGTGATCTTTGGGATAAGTAGGACGATAAAAACTGGGAAGAAGTAAGCTCGCAGAATATATTGCACAACAAATTTACAGATGATACGTATAAACCAGGCCTTTGTAAGACGCGACCTGTGAAATAAAGAGACGGATAATACACAAATAACACACATATGCCACCATAGAATACACAGTCTTTTTATTTTGATTTATTTGTTTTATTTGTGTGGATATCATAAAATACATGTCTACAAGGTATTAAGCAAAATATGCCAAATAGCTGACAAAAATGCAATTCACTGCGACATATAAATTCAACCACATCGTTCCGCTTGCTTAAGCCATGTGTGTGTATATGATTAGGCTATGAAAAGATGTGAATTTCGAAACACGAGTGAGGGTGAGGGCATGTTGTGCCAGAATGAGTTTAATCTAATAAACTCAGGTCCTTGAATAAGTTTGGTATATAATAAAAATAAAAGTGTCTTTTCCAGCCTCACCAGTCGTTCAAATATATTACGTTTGGTACTCCAAACTGTAATATACCTGGTATTCACATAGGAAAAGAAAAATTATCCTATATATATTCTAAAGAATTCCTTAAGAATTGCAATTTTCTCTCAAAGCATTTTCATTCTTATATTCAAATTTAATGTGTATTGGATTGTATAGACTTTATAAAGAATCTGTATCTGTTTGTAATCTTATAAATGTCATTTATATAAATGATTTCTTATCAGCTGCATGCTCAGTATTAATTAATATAGAAAAAAATACATATAAAGGTACAAAATATGACGGTTTAGAATTTTATTTCAAAGATTGGTTTGATTTCCCTAATGACAGTTTTCAATATTGAAATCTCATGTAATTATTAGTTTTTTTCATTTAGTGGACATTTAGTAACATTATATCCGAAGGGAAAGAAATCCCAGAATTATAAGAGGTTGGTATATTTTTTCAATAAAAATACTATATTTTGCATATATTTCTATATCTAAAATATATAAATTAATGAGTATACAATTTCTATATCGCGTGTAGTCTAATTCAAAAGAAATAATGCTGACAGACTTGTTAAAGAGGTACAACGTATCCTTTACTTTTGGAACCCACTACCTCTATGCTTACCAACGATGTAATATAAAATCATCATTGCCAGTCGTGACACCTCCGTAAAGAGAGGCTTAAACTCTGTCGCCTTCCCAGTGATATAAATGTGCCTGCAATCACATTGGACACAATAATTAGAAATCTTATCATAAGTCCATAATAATATATTGAAACTAACGACCAAAATCTCTGCATAAGAAGTTATTGGGTACATTTTTTCACTGCTTATCTCTCGTTTAGTGAACGCCGATTTTGTCATTAATTGATTTAAAAGGAAACAAAACAACAAAAGTACAAAAATAAAACCAGATAGACGGGAATAACTAAAATGGTAGGTAGCACACACGCTTTCGATTGATTAATGAAAACTGCCAGGATACAAAGGTTTTATAAAAATAATGGTTACCCAAAAGCATAACCAAAGTAGAAACTATATAAATGATATAAATGTTACAAAACTGCCTATCGTTAATTTACTTTATAACTCTATTGCTTATTACGCCTTCTAATTTCTAACCAAAGCAAGTCACAACATAAAATAAAAGATACAAAATTGTCATTTATGTACACGCGTATCACTGTTTACAATAACTGTTTTATAAACATATAATCAATCATATAGTTAAAACACGCAAACAAATGCAAAGCAAACAAACAAGATCAACAAAAAGCTACCCTTCCAATGAAGAATACCTCAGCCACCCACCCTCACCCACAAAACATAAACAAAAAAGAAAACCCTTAAGCAAAAAAAAACAACCCAACTCATAACCAAATTATTAAGGACCTCAAAATTATAAATATGATGTGCAAAAGAGCTTGTGAAGATTTAACTGGAACATCATCTCATTATATAGTAGACTAATTTGTTAGAGGATTAAACAGATCCAGTGGCTTAGTGGTTAGAGCATCTGCCTCGGATTCGGGAGTTCACTGGTTCGAATCCCGGCCGAATCATGCCAAATACATAAAATTAGTACTAACAGCTGTCTCGCTATATGATCAGTGTTAAGAAGTTTATGTTAGCACTAGTCGGTCTGGTGTCAGGATAATGTCACTGGGTGTGATGACATGATGCTACATGTCTGCGGCATGATTCCCCAGTGCTAGACATCACTATAAAATGTCACACTGCAGACATCGTAGCGATGTGGATGAAAAGTTTTTTAAAAATTGTTAAAAATCCAAAACACATACACATTATAGGAGGCTTAACAAAGAAAAATAATTCTTAACCCACTCCCCATCTAGTTTTGTAAATCGGTTTAAAATTGGTTTATAATTGGTTCAAAAGTATATTAAACATCAATAGTTACCGGTTGGAATTTTTTCTTTGTTTAGGTTTTGTCAGAGACAATGTCATACTGGATAATGGTTAAACTGCTTGTCTCATAGAAAGTGGAAACTGTTACCGGAACTGCCGTGCTGTTGGTGTTATAATTGTGTGAAACGTCATCGGAAGGCTATATACAAACAGCTATACAGATACTTTAGTATTCGTGTAAAACAAAACATTCCAAAATGCTCAAACAATTATAAAAGCACTTGTTTGGAGCCAATTATGGAGTATAACTATCGGACTCGACCAACAATCTTCTTTGAACTGCATACACGTGTTCCAAATCAAAGAAACATCTCGATTACACGGCACGATATAGCCATGATTGTGTTGATACACATGCATACATACATACATACATACATACATACATACATACATACATACATACATACATACATACATACATACATACATACATACACATACATACATACATACATACATACATACATACATACATACATACATACATACATACATACATACATACATACCCTTGTCCTGCAATCGTGAACCTGCCAGATTACAAGAATAACGAACACTGAGAGACATTAGACGTTCATCTTTAAAACCGAATGATGACAAGGATAACAGTCGGTGAAAACCCGTTTCCCCAATAACGAGACTGCCAGATCGCAAGGATTCTATCGGTGATATACTTTTGGTACCTCAATCACGAAACATTAAGAGAAGAATAATAACGACCAGTGCTGGATCCTCGACCCTCTTTCTCAAAACTTCCAGAGCAGACGACTAAGAACCATTGTTAAAATAGGACCCCTTTCACAAAACTGCCACAGCATACAAACTGAACTGAGATTCTAACCGACCTGCTATTTTTTTTCACGAGCATTAAATTATGCAATAGTACAGTCGATTCATAAGCCAATTCTAAACGTTTGATAGTTCATAGTTCAAGCTCTACTTACACTAAATGTATTATCTTTCAGCTACATACGCGCGCATAATGTTTTTCTTTGTATTTACTTGAAACACGGTTTAAAGTTTGCTGACGTGGGCCAAGTTTTATTTGCCTTGTGTTAGCTGTTAAGAATTATAGTACATAATATTGTACATCTCTCTCTCTCTCTCTCTCTCTCTCTCTCTCTCTCTCTCTCTCTCTCTCTCTCTCTCTCTGGTCCTTCTATCAGTCATCGACTCTACTCATACGTCAATTAGGCCCACAAGCGAGCGTAGCGTATAATTCACTTTTAATTGTGTCCCGCAGGGATGAAAGCAAACACGTGACGATAAGTGATCCTGTCATGAGAATTAGAGTCTGATCCTGATGTAAGGGCCAGAAAGAGCTACAGTGGTTGCAAAATGCCAGAAGTTACTCTGTTGCGATTGCAGAGAGAAAACTCCAACAAAGGGATTTACTAAGGAGGCAATCCTATGGTTCAGATTAGTTCAATGCTCTCTTGGTCATTAAACATACTCGGGAACTACTTTTTAAAACAATGTAAATATTTGTCTTCATCTGTTTCTTTAAAAGGCGGCACAAACCTAATATTCTTTGCAATATCAAAACTTTAATCTGTATGTGAATTGGTAATGTGTTTTTCACTTGCTAGTTCCATTTATTTTATTCTAAATTGATATCCACCTCTTACTTCTCTATTTGTATTTGCATCTCTCTCTCTCTCTTTTCTCCGGTTGCAAATGCATTTGTTCTTTCTGTAACTCCAATTCCATGTGCTTATCGTTATTGCTCTCCTGTCTCTCTCACTTCTTTCTCAAAATGTAACTGCGTTTGTTTCTCTCTCATCTTTTTCTCCAATAACATTTGTTCATTTAGGTTCTACAATTCAAGTTTCCTTACCTCTAATTCATGTTGTATTTTAATTTCAATTCTTTTACATTTATATCAGTCTGATTCAAACTTATTAATCGAACCCAAAACACTTTTACTGAAAACATTTTTTTCCACCATATACTGGATCCAAATGTTATTTCTTGTTTTGCCTCAGAAAGATTATATTTTCTGGAAAGTTCAAGCAATTCATATTTTATCAAACAATCCAACTACTCCTGAGTAAGTCTCCATTTTTGATGAAATCTAAAGTCAAATTAATCATCATCTAATGAGATAAAGCTGTTTATGGTCCATGATGTTATTTTCAGATAACTATCAATTATCATAACCCATTTACACGTTTGACTTTGATGATATCATGAATTCAATCGATTGCATTTTAGGAAAGGTCAAGATTACAATCATCTTACAAGCATATGTCTTGATATATTCTACTTAACATGACATTGATGTTGCACTTGAAATGACGATGAAGCCTGACATTTAAAGTGTACTATACGTACGAGGGTTAGCTTCCGTCTACTGTATAAACTAATGAGTCATGTACATTCGTATCAGTTTGGTCCACAGTGAGATATCTTTACAAAATTAGGCCTGTATACCTAATGATTTGTGTAATAATTACTAATGTAATGTCAGTTCCAAAGCAAACAAGCTTTGATTACTACAATTTCCACATTAACTCTAACACGGTTTCTTTTAACTAAACGTATGTAAACGTGATCAGCAAGACATATGTAATAAACTATTTCCTGTCAGCTAACTAGTTCTTCGCAAGTGATTTCGATGAAAGCTGACATGATTTGTTTGCCAACAAGCTCTCCTAAATACCTGGATTTCTCTAAGTGTATGCACTTGCCTATATAAACACACTTTGGTATTCTGTACAGTGCTGCAATTATCTTTCACAATGTCTGATATAGATGATCCAAATAACAATTTGTTTTTTAGCCTTCTCTTCAGTTTGTCTTTGGTTTCAAGTACTGTATAACATGTTTGATAACCAGTTAGCGTTCTAAAACAAGCAACATGATGAGCACAGTTTTACATTTGACATCTTATCTTATCAATGGTGTTTTAGATGGTTTGCTTAACTTCTACATAGTTAAAACTAATCCCATAAGTGATGAACTATAGCTACAGCCAAAAACCATATTTAAATAGCATATGTTTTAAACTTATACTTGAATGGTATTCGTAATATTTTAGATTCTTAAATGACCATGGTGAATTCTTGTCATTAAATAACCCAACGAAAAGATTCAATTTCAAAAGATCCTTTCTATATTGTAAAACACATTAACAAATTACAGGTTGATTGGAAATAAATAATCAAATTAGGTAAACAAAAATTTGTTCATTATAATTATAATGATGGCTGAAATAAATATTTACCAACTCTAATTGCAACTTAAAAAATAAACTTTTCTATGAATTAATTATCAATGTATATCAACTGCAATAAATGCAAAATTGGGATATTGTCTTACATCATTAATTTCCTGCATATACGAATTGTTTATATTTATTATCAGAAAAATGGAAAAATATAATAATTCATCATATTACTAGGTTAGATATATATGTAAAGCGCTTATTAAAAGAACACTCTGTCGTAATATCTTATTTAGTGGGGTCTAACTCAAAAGAAAGGATACCTATTGGCCAATAGACATGAAATTTCTTTAGTCTTCTGAGCAAATGGACACTCAGCACTGATAATATTATAATTCTGAACCTATCCAATTAAGCTTAGTTGACAATGTCCATTTCGCGGTCTGTCAACGTGGGAATGGATAAGAAGATGCCCCGCTTACGCCGAGGTCTTCCCTCTGATGTTAAGACTAAGCTGTAACACAGATCTGAGGGTGTGCGATCTGTTGCCTGTGCCGTTTTAAGATTCCAATCTCCTGCCCGGTCACTAGAATATGACACTCGCCTCGAGACAATGTTTGGAGATCAAACACAAAGCAGCGGTACTATTCAAGACAAGTAGATTATAGCTTACTTATACATGACTTTAAAACTGGGGCTTAGCAAACTTGTCAAAGATACTGTTTACAAATCAGTAAGAAGGTAATCAGGTAGGCAGAAATGTAATCCAGGAAAAGAGCTTGTGTTTGCACCGTGAGTACCACATGGTGTCAAAAATGACCTTCGGATATAAAAATTGCAGGTATAAATTTGGGGTTGGGGTGCATAAACTGTGTCTGCTATGAACTGCCACTGACTTCTCTGGTCAAGTGGATAATATTGTTATGCTTTGTTTTAATATAGGTATCTCAAAATATGGACATTCTTGACCTCACTTGTGTATTTGATTTTTTATGATTTTTTGTGCTAGGTCACAGATTACGGCATTAAATTTGTACATAAAAACTGGCCCCTGCCTCCTCAGCAATCAATTCTCCTGGCCATTTTGTACAGTTCGCCCTACGAGCTCACCAGAGACTATACAAGTAACCAAACTTAAAATCTCTTCAATTGTCTATGTCTTAATTAAAAGTTGATAAAACAATCATAACGCTAGAAAATACATTACACTTTCATATATGTTTCCCTGTTATAAAATACAGTGTAGACGTATTAAATCACCGACAGTCGGTACCTTATATATATCATCCATTCCTTTCATCATTTTTAAGTTGAGGAAAACAAAACGAAGTTTTGGCATTTGGCTGTGCAGTTTGATGGTGTCAATTTTGGAGATATAAAGCAGAGACAACAATCGTTCCAAATTACAGATCTAATGATTCCTTTTATTGTGGACCTTTATGATTGTTCAATCGTCAGACAATC